TTTGGGAGGCCGAGGTGGGCAGATCACCTGAGGTCAGGAGTTCGAGACCAGCCTCAACATGGAGAAACCCCGTCTCTACTAAAAATACAAAATTAGCCAGGCGTGATGGTGCATGCCTGTAATCTCAGCTACTTGGGAGGCTGAGGCAGGAGAATTGCTTGAACCTGGGAGGCAGAGGTTATAGTGAGCCAAGATCGTGCCGTTGCACTTCAGCCTAGGCAACAAGAGCAAAACTCTGTCTCAAAAAAAAAAAAAAGGCAATTATCCAGGCGTGGTGGCAGACCCCTGGAATCCCTGCTACTTGGGAGGCTAAAGCAGGAGAATCACTTGAACCCGGGAGGTGGAAGTGACAGTGAGCTGAGGTCATGCCACTGCACTCCAGCCTAGGCGACAGAGCGAGACTTTGTCTCAAAAAAATAAAATAAAAAGCTCTCCTTCTGCCTCCTTGACCAGAGACCTCACTGCAGGGACTCTCTGGGCTTTTCCTCTTGAGCCCAAATCAGCTGAGCTGTGGTAGTGAGTCCTGGGCCCATTCCTCCCTCCCTGCAGAGTTAGGGGAATTTGAAATTATCAGGCATGGGCAGGGGCCAAGGCAGGGCGGGTGAATTCCTCTGCAGCCTGCTCTTAGCGCTTGGCCACATTTGATCATTCACTCACATGGATGTGCGAGAGTGAGTCGCAGGCGATGGTAGAGCCACTTTATTGAAATAGCATGTTAGCATTTAAACAATATTAATACTTTTTGACTCATTAAATATACAAAGGCCAGTTAAAGTGCTTCCATGTGTGTGCTGTTAGTTCTGGCGGGCGACTCCTCAGATGGCTTTATGTGGTTTCAGACAACGTTTTAGCACATTCTTAAAATACCCACAAAAGCCTTTATGTAAAAACTCATAAATGCAAACCACATAAAAATTATTTTTTTTCCTTGTTTCATGTCATTATGATCAAAGTACAGTAGGTAAGAAATAAATTTTCAAAAACATGTTGTGGTCCCTCCTTAATTAATGCTTCACGCGCAGAGCAGAGCCATAAACCAAGTAGTGGGGGCACTGCCTGTGCGCCCTGCGGTCACCTCCCTCCTGAAGGTCCCGGAGCCATCCCGACAGCACTCACAGGAGAGGCTGGTGCTTCTGGGCGATTCTGAAACAAGCCTTTCTAACCGTGCAGTCCTCTGCTCCCTTTGTCTCGGAATGTCAGGTTGAGACTTGTGGCTGCTCCAGTCCCTGGTGATCCCTTTTGGTGAATGGAATGCAAGCCCATTCTTGAATTATTGTAGTGTCTGAGCTGTACCTGCAGAGGCCAGGTCTCAGCACGTCTGACTCACCTCAGCTGGAACACCCTGATTCAGAGAGGGAACAGATTCAAAGCGACAGACCAACCACGCCGCCTCTAACTCTGTCGTCGTCGTTTCTTTATTAAAAGTCAGATCGACGGTAAATTAGGATACTATCCGACTGAATACTATCCTTGCTGTTAAAAATGATTATGGAGATCATGTGGCTTCATGGAAAAATGCTAATGATTCTGTGCCAAGTGTAAAAAGCCGAATTCAGCGTGGTGCTCTTGCTGTGCTTACGGTTATATAAAAATGCATCTGGACTGGAAGGGAATTTGGAAAAATCAGATTTATGGGATAAGTTGATTTATGGTATTGTGGGCTAATTTTCAGATTTCCTTTTTTAAAAAACAATGATGTTCCTGCAGTAAGTTTTAAAATTGTGGGTAAAAGAATAGTAACCCCGCAAGGAGGTCACAATTGAGCTTGCATTTTTACCTCCCCTGGCTCCAGCATTTGAAACTTTAGATCTGGTCACTGTGGCCTGCCAAGGAGAAGCTGCCTGTAGTGGGAGCCAGGCCACGGGGTGGGACGTTGGAGTGGAAACGGCCAGTTCCACCCTATAAAACTTTAATGCGGTTGTTTTATTTTTCTGGAAGAAACGGAACGCTCAGGGATGGGACTGAGGGGAAGCAGCCGTGGGCCACCTGGTGCTTTTGAACTGGTCGCCGGAGGGTGTCGACAGTGTCAGGCCATCGGGATTTCTCCTGGTTCCCCTCCAGGGCAGCCTGACCTGCCTCTCCCCAGTGTCCCAGCACACAGAGGAGAGCAAGCCTTGGGCGGGCACAGCACCGCAGCTCTGTGTGGATCTGTGAAGGAGCGGAAGGATGAAATGCCCCTGGGCTGCAAGCCTTCTTTCCAGAATGGCCAAAGGAAAGAAGGAATTATTGGCCCATCCTTTTTGCCAGCAAAGTAGGGTTTTTTTGTTTGTTTTTCTTCCCCCTCTTTTGATGTGGGGCTGCTCTCCCTATAAGCTGGCTGAAAGAGAAAACCGTGTGCTAGAACCAAGCCATCTGTCGCCAACAGGAAGGGTATTAGCAGGTCTGTTCTGAGTTGCTCTTCTCTCGGTAGTGTTCGTGTGCCTCGTAAGTTAACCTGCAAGAATCCAGGAGAATAAGCCAGAAAGGCTCACGGAGCCCATGCTGCCAGTCATCTGAGCCCTGCTAAACCTCAGGTCTAGCAGGGGCAGTCAGTCCCTCTCCAGGTGTTCTGGGAACATTCCAGAATGGCCTGATCTCTCCAACTCTGTATGGGGCCGGTCCAGACCAGGAGGGCCCTATGGAGGCAGATGGGGCCTTGGGCCCTGGACCAAAACACTCATCTGCTTAGCTCGCCTTGCCCCAAGAAGGGAGAGTTTGGAGACAGACTGGAATAAAGGAAATGATCTTCTGGAGTGGGGTCTCTGAGTGCCAGTATTGGCCGGTGTCCTGGACATCACCTCTGCCAGCAGTGAGCGCTGAGCCCCACAGGTGTGTCTGTTCATCCAGTGGTCCTTTTCCTCTAGAAGGAAAGGATGCCTGTGCTACACCTTGCCAGAGCCAGGCCCTTCCCCACCCTGTGCAGTTTGACCAGTGATGAGCTCAGCATCTGGCACCTGACAGATCCATCCCACAGGTGTTCCCTGAGTGGCACTTGTGTTAGCCAGGCAGCCCTGCCCTCATATGCCCTCCTGCAGACTCGCCTGTGGGCGCACCATGGTGTATTCGGTTTGATAGCTTAATCACAGTGGTTAGTGCCACAGAGGGAACGGGACAGAATGTGGTCCTGCCGCAGGGGCTGGCTGCAGCCTGCCTGAGGGAGCCCTCGGGGCGGGGCCAAGGGTAGCCCACCTGAGTATCAGCCCTCCTGGATGCTCCACAGGTCTGAGGGTTGGAGTGAGGGCAGACCAGCCAGGGCACCCTCATTCTCCTGGGAGGATGCTTTGCTTCCTTGGTCTGATGGTCTCTTAGTTACATTACACTCTGGTGTATTCGTGTACTGATTTTTCACAAAAGCTTTTTAGTCTGGAACAGTATAACTTACTGTCAAATTGCAAAAAAAAAAAAAAAAAGTACAGAGAATTCTTGTATACCCATCACCCACATTCTGTAAATATTCACATTTACCGTGTGTATTTTTTATTATAGAATAGCTTTGGTGAGACATAATCTACAGATATATGTTAATTTCTAGTACTTAATTTTACATTAACCGTTTGGTAGGTGTCTACTTTTCCTAATTGTTTGTCTCTCAACAGCCATAGAAAGTAGATTAAGTCCCTAAAGTCCATGTTCACGCCACTGGTCCCTTAGTAAACAGTTGGACGCATGCATGCGTGAGCATAGCTCATAGCTGGGGCTGGGCGTGCTAGAGCTGTCATTGGGTCCGTCTGACTCCCAAGCCTGGGCCCACCTTCCCAGCTGTCCGGGGCTGAGGGCGGTGTGCTCCCAGAATACGCCTGCCGCACCAGGGCTTTGGGGCTTAATAGGGGTCAGAGAGGCCCCAGACTTCCTGATAAAGATGTGCTCACCATGAGAGATGCGATTGCTTACAGTTTCACTGGTTATCAGCAGAGATGAGATTTCTCTTTTTGGGGCTTAATTGGGGTCGGAGAGGCTACAGATTTCGCCACAAGAAATGAGATTTCGCTGGTTATCACCAGCATTTGCAGTTCCCATCAGCTGACTCCACCCCTCACCTCTGCTCACGGCAGCCCCAGCGAGCCACAGTAGTTGACCTGGGTCTGTTGGGTTTGGGATCCCAGACTGATTCCCATTTCTCATCTAACCTTTTCATTCCCTCTGCCATTTGATCGTAATTAGAAATCCCTCTTCCATTTGATCATAATTAGGAATGTTTCTGGGCCAGATGCAGTGGATCACTTGAGGTCAGGAGATCGAGACCAGCCTGGCCAACATGGCGAAACCCCATCTCTACTAAAAATACAGAAATTAGCCGGGCGCAGTGGTGCACACCTGTAATCCCAGCTACTCAGGAGGCTGAGGCAGGAGAATCGTTTGAACCTGGGAGGTGGAGGTTGCAGTGAGCCGAGATGGTGCCACTGCGCTCTGGCCTGGGAGACAGTAAGACTTCATCTCAAAAAAAAAAAAAAAGAGAGAGAGAGATGTTTTTGTATGGACTCGGATTTGAGGAGGAAGCACTGTATCAAGCTGAGCCCTTCATTTCCGGCTAGCGCTTTGTAGGAAGTTGCTCCGAAAGACCAGCTGGAGCCCTGGTCAGGAGGGATCAGCGTGTAGGGAGTTTGTTGCTGTATTTTCTCATCTGCCTTGTAACCCAAAAGACAGAAATATCGAACAACCGTGGTCACTCCAGTAGTCATAGCCTGCATGGATTGTCACTGGATGTCACTCGTGCTGCGTTCTTTATCTGGGAGGAATGTGACGCCTAGAGAGGTCCAGTAAACCAAAGACCACAAAGCTAAGGGAGGTGGCAGAGCCCAAACTCAAGTTCATCTTTATGATGCCTAAACCTACTACACCCCCAAAAATGCTGCACCCTCTCCCCGAGCCAGAGAACGATCAGAACACACCCAAGGATCGGCTCCTATAACTGTTGCAGGGAGGACCCCAAATCCCAGAATCTTTGCTGAGCAACAGCCTGGGACCCAGGCTGATGATCTGTCCTTTAGCATCTAACAGGCACATTGGCCTGTTTCCTGCAGGTATTTTGAAGGCGGCGTCTCATCTGTCTACCTCTGGGATCTGGATCATGGCTTTGCTGGAGTGATCCTCATAAAGAAGGCTGGAGATGGATCAAAGAAGATCAAAGGCTGCTGGGATTCCATCCACGTGGTAGAAGTGCAGGTACCGCCTCCCAGCAGCTGGTGGCCGGGGCCACTAAGTACAGAATCACACCAAACAGTGCCGCGCTGCTCTCTAGCAGATGCAGTGAGGGGGATGCTATGATCTCTGAACCCCTCATTCTGAGAAATGCCTCCAAGCCATTTGGATAAAGATAAGTCAAGATTGCAGTAGTCGCCAGGCGCGGTGGCTCAAGCCTGTAATCCCAGCACTTTGGGAGGCTGAGACGGGTGGATCACGAGGTCAGGAGATCGAGACCATCCTGGCTAACACAGTGAAACCCCGTCTCTACTAAAAAATACAAAAAACTAGCTGGACGAGGTGGCGGGCGCCTGTAGTCCCAGCTACTTGGGAGGCTGAGGCAGGAGAATGGCGTGAACCCGGGAGGCGGAGCTTGCAGTGAGCTGAGATCCGGCCACTGCACTCCAGCGTGGGCGACAGGGCGAGACTCCGTCTCAAAAAAAAAAAAAAAAAAAAAAAAGATTGCAGTAGTCATTAATGATTAAGTTCTCAAAAGAAATACACAATTACAAATGTCCCTTTAAAAACCAGTTGGGATTTTATAAGAAAGATAACATTGTGAGGCCGGGTGCAGTGGCTCATGCCTGTAATCCCAGCAGTTTGGGAGGCTGAGGCAGGCAGATCACTGGAGGTCAGGAGTTCAAGATCAGCCTGGCCAACATGGTGAAACCCCACCTCTACCAAAAACACAAAGAAAATTAGCCAGGCTTAGTGGCAGGTGCCTGTAATCCTAGCTACTTGGGAGGCTGAGGCAGGAGAATCACTTGAACCTGGGAGGTGGAGGCTGCAGTGAGTTGAGATCACACCACTGCACTCCAGCCTGGGTGACAGAGCAAGACTTTGTCTCCAATTAAAAAAAAGGTAATATTGTGATAATGACCTAGGAAGGGAGATGTTAGGATGACCCTGAATTCAAGGGGCCACTTCAGGCTCTCCCTCAGCTCAACAGATCTCTGTCTTGTCCTTCCAGGAGAAATCCAGCGGCCGCACTGCCCATTACAAGTTGACCTCCACGGTGATGCTGTGGCTGCAGACCAACAAATCCGGCTCTGGCACCATGAACCTCGGAGGCAGCCTTACCAGACAGGTAGAGTTACCCGCTCATAGCCAGTTGCCAGTGCCCACAGGTGCTGGCCTCAGCGCTGACCTGCAGAGATGAGTGAGCAGGTGCCCTAGGGTAAGCATGTTCAGCCAGCTATAAATCCACCACCTAAGGAGGGCTTTGCATTTTCAAATAAAAGCTCTCTGGGCTCTGCAAGGTTGCCCGTAGCTGCTGGCACTCTGCTGGCCTCCTGCTGAGGGAGGTCAGGTGCTGGCGTGGCTCCTCCTTACTCTTCAGGGCACCGCACATCCCCATGCTTCGGGTCATGGTGTGCTGTGAGAAGTGGTGCTTGGCTCTGTTTGCCTTCTCTGTGGCCATGCCCAGCCCATCAGTCAGGCCAGCTCTCTGGGAGCTGCTTACCTGAGCTCAGAGTGTCTGCACCTTGCTGCCCTCAGCCCAGTCCAAGGACCAGCATCAGCGTCACCACAGAGCCTGTCAGAAAGGCAGAAATGTCAGACGCCCCCCAAGACCTAGCATATCAGGATCTCTATTTTCACAAAATTCTCCAGGTAATGTGTGTGCACATTGAAATTTAAGACGTGCCCTACTGGATACCTCTCTCTTATCCATCTTTTGTTTGGGTATCTCTAGCAACCCTTCTCTACGACGTTGCTCCCAGGTTCTGTCTAAGGCAAACTTGGACTTGGACTGGAAGGTACTGCCTTCTCTGAGCAAACTTGCCTCCCCTTCTACCTTAGATGCTCCCATAAGCATCTAGGTGGGTTTAAGAACCTTGTGTAAGAATCCATGTTCAGGACCCTTTACATTCCCATCCCAAGAGAAGGCCTTAATCTTGTGCTGGTGCGGGGCCACAAGATGCTTGGCATAAAGGGGGAAGAGAAAGCATAGACCAGGTGCACAACTGGGTTTCACAAGGACCCCACTCTGCCTCCGGAGAAGTCAGTATTGGCAGAAACGGCACAGCCTTGGGAGCCTCAGAGGGGCGCCACTTTCTGCAAGGATGCCCTTCCATTCTCGGTTCCAGTAGTCCCTGACTTTCCACTGTGAGAATTCCTTTTAACATCAGAGATATCTTTCAGTAAGATAACTATGCTCTCGATAGCTGTGGATAGAAAACATATGACTGAAAGGATTCAGTGTAGTAAATCTTTTTTTTTTTTTTTTTTTTGAGACGGAGTCTCGCTTTGTCACCCAGGCTGGAATATAGTGGTGTGATCTCGGCTCACTGCAATCTCTGCCTCCCGGGTTCAAGCGATTCTCCTGCTTCAGCCTCCCGAGTAGCTGGGACTACAGGCATGTACCACCACGTCTAGCTCATTTTTTTGTATTTTTAGTAGAGGTGGGATTTCACCATGTTGGCCAGGCTGGTCTCGAACTCTTGACCTCAAGTGATCCGCCCACCTCGGCCTCCCAAAGTGCTGGGATTACAGGCATAAGCCAGCACACCCAGCCCAGTGTAGTAAATCTTTTAAGTGAATTTGTATTCTACTAGTTACAACAACACCTACATACTTTTAAAAAATAGTGATGCAGGCCGGGCGCGGTGGCTCAAGCCTGTAATCCCAGCACTTTGGGAGGCCGAGACGGGTGGATCACGAGGTCAGGAGATCGAGACCATCCTGGCGAACACCGTGAAACCCCGTCTCTACTAAAAAATACAAAAAACTAGCTGGACGAGGTGGCGGGCGCCTGTAGTCCCAGCTACTTGGGAGGCTGAGGCAGGAGAATGGCGTAAACCTGGGAGGCGGAGCTTGCAGTGAACTGAGATCCGGCCACTGCACTCCAGCCCAGGCTACAGAGCGAGACTCCGTCTCAAAAAAAAAAAAAAAAAAAAATAGTGATGCAAGGTGAATGTCAGCCATCATGCCTGGGAGCCTCCCTCCACCTATAGAAGCTCCGCTGCCTCTCTTGTGTCCGAGGGGCTGGAGGCCAGAAGGGATGTTGGGGTCCTCTTTTTGGCGTCTGAGCAGGGATATCGCGGTCCCAACCCGGAACTACTCACTAGTGCTGACAGGGCGGGGGGGAGGGGGTGGTGGTTAGCCTTTTTGCATGGAAGTGGACTCCTATCTTCCAGGGGCCATTAGCTGGGGAGGAGCAGCCAAATCCCCAGACAGCCAGCTCCCCTGCAGCCTGACTCTCCCACATCCTGCCACCTGGGGAGTGGGTGGAAAATCCTGAATCTGTATCCAGAGACTGCTTCCTGCATCACTTACCACTCCAGGCTGTTGATAATTCCACCCGGTTTACAGTGACCTGGACAAATATTTAATCCTCAGCCTTCCTAATAGTTTAAATCAAAGCTGTCAGCCCATGGCCAGAGTCTGGTTCCGGCTTGCCGTGAGCAGTGTCTCCTGCCAAGCTCAACCCAGGCCTGATGAGTGCCTGTCCTCAGCACACCTTGGCCAGGGCTTCGGACCTTGTTTGCATTGCCTTTTGCTCTAGGGGCTTTAATGAGGAAATTCATGCTCTGCCATCATTCTAACGGCTGATCACATCATTCATTTGAGGTGCATTAAAGCTGGGGCTGGGTTCCAATGTAAGTAACTGCAGAAGAGGGAGGGATTGCAACGAGGTAGACAAATCTAAGTTAATGATGCACAGCTTCTGAGCAAACAGGGGAAGTGAGGGTTGCGGAGCTTGGCTACGGGTCCCAGAGGAGCCTTGGAAGAATGCCTATGCTTGCTTGGGTGGGAGGCGAAGGGTTCCGGGAGAGGTGAGTGGATCGGTGGTAGCATGAACATGCATGGTTTGCAAGCTGTCCCCTTGGATTAGATCGTGACCAAGGTCAGGTTATTCTCGTTTAACAGGTGAGGCAACTGAGGTTCAAACTTAAATAATTTGCCCATATAACTTAACCAGTAAGAAGCAAAGCCAGGATGTGAACCCAGATTTGCTTGGTGAGAAAAAAAATATGCTACTTTCTACCACACCACAGCTGTTGTGGTCTCGATTCATCCTCTGTGCCTGCCATTCGGCGACTGCTAAATAAGCTGTCAGATGGAAGTGCATGGAGCAGTCAGCTCGGTGTAGACAGCACACTGTCTCAGCAGCCGGCGTGGGCAGCTGCAGTGGACCGCTGCAGTGGACCTGTGGCCTCAGAAGCAAGCAGACCCCGCAAACGGGACCGACCCGGCAGAGCCCCACATGGGGCCAGGGCTCCCTAGGCGTGTGCTGAGCAGTGCTGCCCTCTGGGCCCCTCTTGCAGGTGTGCCTTTGTCTTTCAGGATGGTCTCCTGCTGGAGGCCACTTGGCCACTGGGGTGCATTCACTGCTAGAGGCTGTCAGGAGGGCTTTGAGGTTTCTAGGGAGTCCAGTGATCTGATGGGATCTGCGTTTCCAGAAGGTGGTTCTGTCCGTGGGCTTGGGGGATGGGTGGTCAGAGGGAAGCTGTTAGAGTCATCCAGGAGAGAGACGACAAGGGCCTGGATCAGGCAACCCTGGGAGGGTTGGAGGGGACAGCCCTGCAGCAGAGAGGTCAGTGAAGAAGCTAGCGTCCATCTGAGGCAGGAGGTGGCAAGGGCGGAAACGGAGAAGGGCAGGGGAAGAAGGGCAGGCTGGGAGGCATTCTGGAGTGGAGTGGGCAGGGGCTGGACGACCAAGATGTGAGATGGGCGTCAGATGAGAGCCCCCTCACTCGAGTTCCTCCTTACACAGTCCTCACAGCAACCTGGACCTGAGTTTTTTCCTCTGGAAACTTGGCCTCATCCAGGTCACCCACGCTCACATGCCCTTGCCCCACATGTCAGGAAGGAAGGCTACTTGGTTTTAGAGCCATCTCCCCAGGCCCACAGTGCCAGGCCCTAGCCCCAAGAGCCATCCCAGCCAGCATCAGCACCATCAGCAAGACCCCGTGGGTCCCCAGCTTTCCCAGGGTCCTGTGGCCCAGCCTGCCTCACCCCGGCAGCAGTAGCTGCCCTTCCGTGTGTGTGGTCCTGGGGGCACCCTCGTCTTCCTGTTTCCCACGGCCCATCTGGAGAAGGCTGCCAGCTTCGGCTTGCTGGCATCTCGCAGGGGTCCCTTCCGTGGGCACATGAGGGTATGCCCTGGGCCCACTCATATCCCAGTGTAGGTGGCTGATGGTAGGCCAGTGACCGGGGCAGAGCGCCACTCTCCTGGGCACGTGTGACAGAGGTGGAGGGCCTGAGCTGCGCCTGCCCCCCAGCCAGACCACAGCCAGACCAGGCGGCGCTCCCTCCACCCAGCCCTGCCTCCGTCATTTTACCTTTTATTTCTCCCACCTCCAACCACCAAAAGATGTTTCTCAGGGACGTCAACTGGAAGACAAGGTAAATAGCTAGTCTTCTAGCAGATTCCCGCGGCAGTGGGACTGTCGGAGAGAAGGTGAGCCGCAAGCCAGCCAGATCGTACCTTCCTGCCAAGACTTGCGGATGCGTGTGAGGAAAGGCGGGCAGAAGGTACCCGCTAGCACACTGCCACGTGGGCCCTCGTGGGAGGGTTGTAGAGCAAGTGAAAAAAGGTTGCAGAGGAAGTTGTACTGAGAGGTCACTTCTGTGTGACAGCAGAGACGTGGGAAAGAGGCGAAACTGTAAATCTCTGGAAAGAGATCGAAGGTTTCCCATCCGGGGAAGGGCCTGCAGATGTTCGTTTGATATTTTCTCAGCTTCTAAGTATTTAGAAATGAAGGTGGAATGTTTTGTTGAGTGGGGAGATCAGGCGGGTCATTGGCTAGTGAGCCCTCTCTCCCCACTCAGCAGTAGACACCCCCAATATATCTTGAGGCAGTAAAACCCCGGCAGGCACTTGCCTGTGTATCCTAGCAGGAACATCCTCTTTGACTCGTGTTTGGCAGTCAGGCCAGGCAGTATATTTTTGTCACAGGGAAGAAGCCCATTGCCCTTCCAGATGCAGGGAACAAAGGGTGGGCTGGGCCCAGCTTGGCAGTTCCAGGAGTGCACGCTCGCTGGGGAGGCCTGGCTGCAGCTGCACACATGCTCCTCGTGTCCCGTGGGGTTGCCTGGGTTTGGGGGTGGAGATGCTTGAGCAGCACAGCTTCGAGGGGCGGC